GTCTTTATTTTCTTTGAACATAATTGTCTTTATTTTCTTTGAACATAATTGTCTTTATTTTCTTTGAACATAAATTTACCTACAGTGAGACGTGCCCATCTTAATATCACCACCGTATGATTTCTGATCATTGCAGGTAGAGAGTTTGATTTGATCCTTGCTTTACCATCTCCTGTGTGGGGCCTTGACCTTCTCCTGTGCTAGGTGGACATGTCAGGAGTGTAGAGGCCACATCTGCGTGGCTCCTCTCTCTGATACGCAGCCCGTAGAGGTGCTTGGGCGTAGTTGTAAATACACGGTAGGGAGCTCATGGGCCTTGGCGATGGTTTGGATGCAGAGATGGCACCCTGTTGTAGGAGACAAAGCCGATCATTTCTCACCAGCCTGTCTCCTGTTCCTTGGAACTCCCTCTCCCTGCACAAGACGACTTCAAACAGTCCTTTCCCAGCCTCAGCTCTGCTCAGAGTTGCCTTCTACTTTTCTACCTGTGCAAAGAATTTTCCCAACTCAGGAGCCTCCTCTAAACTCACAGAACTGGTTGAATTCTAGATGAATTATTTGACAATTCATCATATACATGCTATGAACGTGGTTTCAAAACCATCCCTTGGGGCACCAGGTGTGAAAAATCATCAGTATATTTTTGTGATTTCCTTTAGGAGATTCTTGCCTTTGAAAAACAACTAAAGCCTGTTTACTAGAAAAATACGTGTATATTAAATTGGCATTCTTGTTTTTTATCATGATTTTTAGAATTGTGAGGTGTGACTCAATAAACTGCCGCTAAAGTAGCTGCTAAATAAGCTACTAGACGTTGTTTAACTTTCAAGCCCAGTACTTTGACCTCCTGGTGTGACCTAGCACTTGTGCACTCAAACAGTTGTTTCCAGATGGGCACAGGGGCAACCCCAAGTTCTACAGAACATGGTACTGCTGTGGAAGAAAACAAGCATTTTTAAAAAGATAGTATTTTGACCTTTGGAAGCCAAAAGTTGCAGGAAGAACCTCACCACCACGTGAATTGGATTCTTGCGCTAAGACATGGTGCTGTCCACTAGAGGGCAGTGTTCCACAGTCTCAGCCTCCCCTGCGAGGCCTTTCAAATCCAAACATTTTAGCTCCTAAATTCACCTCCAAACCGTATTTCTCAGCATGAATGCTAGAAATATCTACACGAATGCTAGAAATATTTCTAACATTGCAACATTGTGAAGAGACGTATGTATGTAACTCCGCTGTTTTCTTTCATGAAAAGGTGCCCCTCATCACCCATATCAAGCTTTTCGAGCTGCTGACTCACACATTGGGTCAAAGCCCGCAATTCAAAAAACATTGCTGTAGAGTTCTTGCAGCTAGGGTGTCTGCATATGCGTAGATGAAGAAATGCAAGGCGGTAGAGGGGCTTCTGCGATGTGGCCTCCGGTCTTGAGCTCCCAACCCCTTGCTTTCAGCCCTGCAGGTTCCAGCTGTGCTTTTCTCCTAAAAGTGGGTGGTGGTGGACCTGGTGACATTACTGTTGAGGTACATTCAGTGCCCAGGTGGGTCATAGCCACGGAGAGGAGCGCAGGGGCCTTTGTGACAGAGTCACTTGCAACAGAATGCCCTCTGTGGGAATGTACCTTCTGCGTCCCAGCCACTGGTGTTCAGATTCATGCTGGTGTCTGGAAGGAAAGCCAACAGAACCCCCTACACGTGGGTCTCCCAGGATTGCTGTCACTGAGGGCATCTGGCAGGCAGACCTGGCTTGGCAGTGATTTGTTCCATAGCCCAGAAACCAAGCATCAGCACAACCAGCAACGTAAATAAGCCGGGCGTCACTTGCTTCTGAAAGGGGGAAGGTGGAAATTCTCACGTGGTCCCCTCCTTGTCCCGCAGGACGCTTCCCCCAGGACTTTCGAGATTGACTATAAGCACGACCGCTTCCTCAAGGATGGCCAACCCTTCCGCTACATCTCCGGCAGCATTCACTATTTCCGAGTGCCCCGTTTCTACTGGAAGGACCGGCTGCTGAAGATGAAGATGGCGGGGCTGAATGCCATCCAGACGTAAGCAGCGGGCGTCCCCTCACCGGCCCCGGCCCCTGCCCCAGAGCGGGACAGTTGCACGTCTCCGTGCGGCTCTTTCGTGCTCCGAAAAGGGAAAAGAGCATAGGCTTGTCAAAAAGCTGGATTGTCCTTCTTCCACAACTTGAACTTTGTCATCAGGAATGATGACGTAAATAACTTTAAAAGGCAGAAGGGAGAACAGCCGTTGACCATGGTTCATGATCAGTTACCCGGCACTTTACATAGCGACTCTACTTCTCTGAGGTAGGTAGGTACCACCATCCCCTGTACAGCTTCTGAAACCGAAACGTGCCCAGCACATGTCTCTGGCCAGAGGTCCATGAGGACCTTGAAGGAAGGATGTCTGCAGGCAACCACTGCTTCTGTCAACGCTCAGGGAAATGTATCTTGTCAGTAGATTCTGAAACATAGGTTCCTGTTTCTTCTGGAGAATTCTATAGCTAGCCAGTGGTTATCATGTCGGCTAGTAATTATCTCTTCTCATCTCTTCTGTGATTGCAAAGCAGCTAAATGGGGAGAAGGTATGGGGTCTAGCCACTGTTTTTTTGCAGGGCTGATGTGATAACTTTACCACATAAAAACCCAGGAAATCCAGAGGTGTTTTCCTGGGACAGATGGGCAGGAAGAATCACATTTGTTATTCTGTTTTAAGGCTTACTGGTTCCTGTTTTGTAGTTGGAGTGCTAAGTTCTAGGAGACCAGGATTATTCCAGGGAACCCTCAACTCATCAAAGAGCTCTTGGTGAGGGTGGAGGGTGGCTTGTATTCAGTCTGTGTCTGTGCAGCATGCGGCCAGGAAACTGGGAGGAGCGGTGGTGCTTCATCTCCTGCATGCTCTTCCTGACAGAATCTCTAGTCAGGAGGACACACTAGGTTGGAGATTTTCTGATTCTATATTAGAAGGTATTTTTCAAGAAATGAATATGTTTCATTTGGCACTTCTATTTTCATTTTTCTAAAGCTTCACAGGACATATTTAATTTATAGCTAGTAATTAGGACTGATAAAATTCTGTATTTTCTTTCATCACTTTTATCTTTTTTTTTTTAAAGATTTATTTATTTATGAATACAGAACTGAGGTACAGGCCAGAGGTGCAGGAGTAGTGAGAGGATTCACCAGAGACAGAGTGGGGAGCAGAATTGGCAGATCAACAAAGCACACTGCTGATGGGGAGCAGTGGACAGGTCAGGAGAGGTCTGCCGCGCCATGTGGGTCACCTCCCTGGCCAGGGATCGAACTTGTGCTAAAGTGGCTGCAGCTAGCTTCATAGTGTTGTGCTTTAACTCCATGCGCCACCAGGGAGGGCCCATTTTCTTCCATTGCTTTTAATGTTTACGCCACATTGAAAGACTTTTTTCCCAGTTTCATTGAGATACAATTGACAAAGGTTTATATATATATTATCTCCCCCAGAGAATGAAAGAGACCTTGTCATGGGCCCCCTAGACGTGCTCCAGGGTGACAACTATGCAGCTATATAGTTGACATGCAGCACCGCATAATGACTGGACTTACAGATATTGTGAGATTACGGCCACAGTCAGTGAGTTAACATCCATCATCTCACACAGACCTTTAAAAATGGAAGGCATTTTCCTTTGATGTTAAGAGTATCTGTAAAGATTGTTTTGATAAACTTTGACGTTCATCTGCCACTACTGACATATATAGTCAAGCATTAAGTGAGAATGGGCATTCTTTGTAAGCCATAAACTTAAGTGTGACCCCACCAAGTTTGACTTGCTTGGGTAGCTGCTGTGGAAACTCAAAACGAAGGTGTCCTTTTCAAAAGGTAGCCAAAGGGAGAGGTCTATATGTCCTGGGGGTTTATTGCTCTGTAGATTGTTCAGAGATTCGAGACATGGAGGTTTTTCTCTTTTTTTGTTACTGAGGCATAACATTTTATTGGTATCGGGCATACAGCATGATGATTAGATATTTGCAGCCATCTGAAATTTTGAGCTGTTTCTCTTGTTTTCCCTAGAACACCTTAGTCCAATGACATATGGATAATATAATTACAAAAAGCTAAAAATATGAGTCACAGCACTTAGAGATAGTGAAGATGTGTCAAACGTATTCACGAAGGAACTAACTGGATGGTAAAGATGGTTTGCAGGAGAACTTGAGGAAGAGTTTCCATAATCAAGAAAGCGATGCTGGGTCCTCCCTGGTGGTGCAGTGGGTTAAAGCACAGCACTAAGAAACTAAAGCCATCGCAGCATGAGTTCGATCCCTGCCCTGGAGGTGACCCATGGCATGGCAGATCTCTCCTGACCTGCCCGCTACTCCCCTCAGCAGTGTACTTTGTTGATCTGCCTGTTCTGCTCCCCACTCTGTCTCTGGTGAAGCCTCTCGCCACCCCTGAGCCTCTGGCCTGTACCCCAGTTCTGTATACACAAATAAATAAATCTTAAAAAAAAAAAAAAAGAAAGCAATGCTGAGGGAATTTATCATTAGAATTAAGTCTAGTTATTATAGTAACAGGTACTGAAACCATAAACTTTAGAGTTATCTTCCCTGTAACAATAATCATTTACATCTCTAGCAGGCAAACATCTACAAGTTAATTTATAACTTCAGAGTCATACCCCTATCAAGACTAAAAACTAAGTCAAACAAAATATTTTCCCCAGCGATTGCAGAACCCTTAGGTAGGCCCAGAGGACAACATTCCAGTGTAACATCAAAAGGAAACGCGGTCTTCCTTTATCTCCAGGTTCCAGATAATCTTTCTTGGCCAGACTTCCCCACTTTTCTTTTCCTTTTAATCCATGCGTTAGCCATCGTCCTAAGAACCTGCCCCTCCCCCCGCTATTACTTACTTCGTCCAGTGCCCAGAAAAGGGCTGTGCGTGTCTTGACAGGTATGTGCGTGTCTTGACAGGTATGTGCCCTGGAACTTCCATGAGCCCCAGCAGGGACAGTACCAGTTTTCTGGGGAGCATGATGTGGAACATTTTATTCGACTGGCACAGGAGCTGGGCCTACTGGTTATCCTGAGGCCTGGACCCTACATCTGCGCGGAGTGGGACATGGTGAGTGTGGCTGCCCAGGGAGGCACGGGACAGGCTGGCAGGAGGAAGCCAGGGCCAAGTGAAGGGAGCAGTGGGAATGAGACTCTAATCTGACGCCAGCCAGCACGGTACCTTTTACCTTGGAAGTCCTGCTCTATAAAAGGCAGACAGTAGCATGGGTTCTGTCTATCCCATAAGGAAATGATGGAGCAAAGTGGAATAATCTGTACAAAAGGCTCTGATTCTCAAAATTCTTTCTTCACAACTGATGAGCTTTTTTTTTTTAACAAAAGTTTATTTTTACATCATTCTGTACATTTTTTTCCCATCTCAATTGTAATCCCCGTGGGTTTCCCATCACCAAGTCACCCGTGTGCCATCACCATAATCCCGTGCATTTCCCTCCCCCCCCCACCCCCCATTTTTTGATCCCATTCCCCACTCCACCCCCGCAAAATGTCTCTGGTATATGGTTGTTCATTATTTTTGTTATTTTCTCGCCTGGTCCTGCTATGAGTGACACCATCCGGTATTTTTCTTTCTCTTTCTGGCTTATCTCACTAAGCACGATCTTTTCCAGTGATGAGCTTATTTTTATGATGTTATAATTCAGAGTTGAAGCCCAGCACAATTGAGTACCCCTTCTCCCTGAAACTGCTCTCGCCCTCACTGCCAGTCATCCCTGTCTCCCTGGTACCATCCAGGGAATGTGCTTCCTCATCATGTCCTTTTCTACCCCTGTCCTAGGGAGGATTACCTGCTTGGCTATTAGAAAAACCATCTATTGTTCTCCGTTCTTCTGATCCAGGTAAGTTCTTGCAGAGGGCTTGAGAGAAATTCTGAAAATTTAGATAATAGCAAAGGGGCCAGGTATTTTGAAGCCTGGGGCCCCTCTGTGCAAACATTTCTAACAGCTTAGTGAAAGCCTGGGTGTTGAACAACCCCAAAGTGTGAGGGCGCAGAACGTATGGCTTTCTGGAACTATAGGGCCAAATCTTGCTGGCAAAATGGTAACTTTTCAAATTAGCACTGAATGCTGCGTGTGGCTGACTGACAGATGTTGTTAATGGGGGGTGTGGTGACATACATCTGAGGAGGTGCAATCTGTGCCTCCAATCATATACAGCCAGTGGTACCTCAATAAAATAATGATTTGAAACACTTAGAAAATATATAAATTGATGATGATACTTGCAGTAGTAGTAGTAGTAGTAATAATAATAATGTTTTCTCCCCCTATGGTCTTAGTACATTACACTACCAGTGAGGACAGCTAACAAAATGGCGGCTGTAGCTTCTGGTCTGCTGTCACTGAATTGCTCTGTAGCTGAAGTGCCTGTTATTTCTTTGCTTATTTTTTTACAGAGTTTTATTTTCGTCATAGTTTTTTGCTTGTGTTTTTAGACCGCTAGAAGTTATTTTAGCTCTAAACGCTCACCAATCAGAAGGTCCCATTTAGCTGCCTTTCTAGCTTCTGAAGACCTCCGTTTCTCTTGGTGATGCTGATGGTGAAGTTAGTCAAAGAGTAGCAACACTGATTACATCCACCATGTAAATGGCTGCTACATTATTCTCAACATGTGCTTCTTTCTTAGTGTATTACTATTTTGCACGCTGGGTTCATTTATTACCAGTATTTTCACACATATTATCTGGTTAAATCCTTAGAGCAACTCCAGTATCCCCAGTTGACAAGGTAAAAGTTAACTTTTTAAAATTAAGTTCTAATAAAGTATAAGTTTTTAAGTTTAGTTTTAGGTTTTAAGTATAAATAATTAAGTTCTAATAATGAAAAAGCTCTGCAGTGACAAAGATACACCACGAGCCACACCTCCCCTCATGCCACACACCTGGGCTGGATGCTGCCTGCAATGCTGACTTTGTGCCCATGGTGGGGACAGAGGCCAGCCCCAGTCCTCGTCCACTGGACTGGGAGCTCAGCTGAGGAGACAATTCCTTGCAGGGAAAATTTTATCAGACCTTTACCCCCTCCCAGAAGGTAGCTGCTGAATCCAGAATGCCCCGATCTCTCGGCCAGACCTGGGGCTGCGTCTGTTTGTACTAACAGGTGTGTAACGGTGTGAATCCTGTGTTGTTTGCAGATTACCTTGAGGCTGTGAACAAGTGGTTGGGAGTCCTTCTGCCCAAAATGAGGCCTCTCCTGTATCAGAATGGAGGGCCCATTATAACAGTGCAGGTAACCATGGAGACAAGTGTGGGCGGGTGGGGGCGCTTCCTCTCTCCGCAAGCGATACTGGAGTGATGCCGACTTGAGCCTCACACATTGGTTTCCCTAACAGCCAATGCCAACGGCACCAAAGGCCATTTATTTAAGTGGCATTTGGAAGTTGTTATCATTTTTCAATGCCTGTCATGTACTAGACCCTGTGCTAGTTAAGACATTACCAGACTAAGCCCAAGTCACCCACCTGGCAGGTGCAAGCTTGGCCCGCTGATCTTGTGACCTGTGTCTCTCTCTTGTGCAGCAAGTTGCCCTCTGGCTGCAAGGTGCAGCAGGAGCCGAACCCCTTTGGTGTCTGCACTGCTTAGCACAGTCAGTTCAGACCCTTACAGAAAGCGGATGCAGAGAATTGGGGCATTATGCTTCCTCCCCACTTCCTGCCCCTACTCTCCTTCCATGTGCTTTTTGCTCTTCAAAGACTTGTGTACTCTGGGGTATATCACATGACAAGTATTTTATTTTCCGTGGGATCATTTGGGACCTTCAATGCTGATTGGAAAATTGCATGGTAAAACGTAAACCCTGGTTCACTGGGCATTTCACCGAGGAAGCTCTTAGTGAAAAGAGTAAAGTTATGTAAAACTGGCTGTACCCTAGAGGAGCGACGGGCGCAGTATACTACTCCTTTGGGGAGGATAGGCCAGATTTCTTTTTTATGAAAAGTCCTAGATGTGGCTTGTAGGGTCTGGTCATTGGTGCAAGGAACATGGCCATGTCCTGGCCCTTGGGTGTAGCTCACTAGACTATGCGAAGGGTGAGCGGACCAGGGTGTCCGTTCTGATGCTGTGTGGTGGAGAGACACCGGGGGCTGCTCAAGAAGGACGGATAGCTCTTGATGTCCCTTCACGTGTCTTGAGCTTTCTGGGTAGACTTACAGGAGCCACGTTTCCCTGTCTGACGATTCCAAGTGCAGCTCTTGGGTGTGTCGCCTCCACACAGCTGGGTTTTCTTTCTTTTCTTGCTCTCAGGTTTTTTTTACTTTCCTGCATTTTTCTACCTTGCCCTCCATCAATTTTTGCTCACACCTTTCTGCACTTTTTGGTTGTTGAAATGCCACAAAAAATGTAATGAAATATGAACCCTGAAAAGGAGAGGAAAGTTGGCCATAGTGGGAAGTGTTTCCTCTTGCATCCATTGCTGGCAATGTTAGATGATTTTATTTTCTTTTTTTAAAAAGATTTACTTAAAGCCACCCCCAGGCACCCGGTCATGTGCAGAGCCTGTATTGATACAGTTAATCCTCATAACAACCCATTAACAGATGATTTTTCCATCTTCTTTTCCTTTTTCTCCATTTTCTATATTTCTGTCATGGGCAGGTGTTACTTATATAATATTTAAAGTATCTATTATAAAGGAGAATATCACTGCAATCTGAAAACTAACACAATACTTTGGTTTTCTTTCTCTTACTTGGGGTGGGGAAGAAGATAAGATTTTATGCTGAGTATTTTGCTTTTTGGAAAGTGAGGTTTGAGGGCTGAGGGGCGGGTAGGGGATCCCTCTGACAGTCATTAAGCCTCATCCCAGCGGATGCTCAGGTATTTTTCTCTAGACAAAGCCTTGGGTTAGAAGGACTGCATAGGGGTCTGATATCTTTCTCCCTCCTTTTTCCAACGTGCAGGTTGAAAATGAATATGGCAGCTACTTCTCCTGTGATTATGACTACCTGCGCTTCCTGCAGAAGAAGTTCCACTACTACCTGGGTGATAAAGTGGTTCTGTTCACCACTGATGGCGCGCAGGAAGCCTTCCTGAAGTGTGGGGCACTGCAAGGATTCTACACCACGGTTGACTTCGGGGCAGGTTGGTGTTTGGAGTAGCAGACAACCAGCCTGTGACTTGGGTCTTCCTCCGTCTGCTCTGGGCAGCTGGATTAAGTGAGGGCTCTCAAATTTCCTTTATCTAGCAGGTAAGCTAGAGCAATGGGCAGGCTCCCCTCTGGTGCAGAGGTTTTGTTTAAGCTGATGTAGACTTAGGGACAAAAAGTCTGGTGGACCTGGAGCCTGGGGTGCTATTCTCTCTGGGGCCAGCCCACCCAGGGCCAGCTCCAGCCGTCCAGCCGTGACTGCTTGAGGGGAGATCCTCAGAGAGATGTGTCTTCAGGGGTCACATCCGGCTGTGTCTGGGATGTGCTTGCTGCTCTTTGCTCTCCTTGCCGAGGCTCATCCACCTCGGCAGGATGCTGGGGGGCTGGCTCTTGGCCCTGGTAATTGTGGAGGTGATCTGCTGGCTGGATGTGCTGTGAAGGACATTATTGGGACAGCGGAAATCTTTGAATACATCTGTAGGTTAGAGAAATGTATTGTGTCCCTGTTGATTTCCTGGTTTTTATGATTACCTCATGTTTATTTACAAATGCCTTTGCTCTTAGGAAATGCACCCTGAAGTTTAGGGGTAAAGAACCACCATGCCTGCAACTTACTGTCAAATGACTCAGAAAAAAAAATACTATATTTATATATAGAGAGGGAAACAGATAAAGTAAATGTGGTAAAATATTAACTGGAGAGGTTGGGGTGGGGGGACTTGAGAATTCTTTGTGCTAGTCTCATAACTTTTCTAGAAGTTTGAAATACTACCAAATAAAAACTTGCTCTCCACCCTCCCCACCAAGAAAAGCTTTTGAAGTAGCATAAACAGCCCACCTCCCTCAGAGGGAGACACTGTATTTACACATAAACCGCCTTAACAGGCATCTCTTCTTGAGAAGAGGTATGCAAGACCCAGGTTGCATTTTTTTTTTT